ATGTAATTATAGGATAAGATATAGGTAAGGATAGTTTTATAAAAAGTGGGCGTAGAAAGGGCGTGGCATCGGATCAAGTTCTTATATATAGGCTATAGTTCTTTTCAAGTTTTTACCTATCGGTATTCAAAATTTCAAGTTAATCGGTTTAGTAGTTTTTGCATATTGTGATTGCAAAATTGGTTTTCAAGCTTTTACCTATCGGTATGCAAAATTTCAAGTTAATCGGTTTAGTAGTTTTTGCATATTGTGATTGCAAAATTGGTGTAATAATAGTTTCACAAAAAGTGGGCGTAAAAAGGGGCGGGGCATCCGATCAAGATCTTATATGACCTATTGTTCCTTTTGAAGTTAGGCGATAGTTAATAATTTGCATGCATGTGTGTGAAATATTTAAGGAAATTCAAAATATACACAAATTGACAATGCAACAAGTTAAATGCGGCAGGACCTAGTATGGAAGATATGACCAATTATAGACCGATCGTAAAAAAATCATTAAGTAACATTTTTGTACATAAAAGCTATATTTCAGTCAATTTTGGTTTCTGTATCGTAATTTAGTAATAAGTAATGTGTGTTTAAGTGCTTTCCATAAGAGAACCTTGTATGGGACCGAAATTTTTGCTAAATTCTATATATCATTATTTGGTAATGAATATTGTGCATTTAAGTGATATTCTGGAGGGGACTTTGTATGGGAGCTATGACCAAATATGGACCGATTGTGAAAAAAATTATAGTGTCATTTATGTATATAAGAGCAATATTTGTGGTAAAGGTATGGATATCAATATTTGGTAATGAGCAAGGCAAGGATTTTCATGCACTTAAAAATGAAAAATATGCGCTTAAAAAATGCACTTTAAAATGGGAAAATATGCACCAAAAAATATTTTCTTGCGTAATTTTACTTTTATTGTATTTAAGTACATTTTTATTATAGAACTTAAGTTTTTGACAACAAATATATAGGTTCTTGATGACAGACATATCGCTTTATGTACCCTAATAAAAATTTCAACTCGAGAATGACAATAACTATAAAGACTAAGGAACACCTTTTAATAATATGGGCAATATCGTGTCAAGGTTAGTACTATTAAATAGTAGGCCATACACATCGGTCAAGAACTGCCGGAGGTAGAGGGGGTCAAAGTTGAACATTTTGGTAATACAGGTTTTTTTCAAATGAGTGTAACTTTTCACCTATTGATCCTAGCAAAAAAGGAGTTTAGATAGCTACTGTTCTTTACTGTTTACAAGTTTTTTATTTAATTCTAGGGATGTAACAAATGCTCGCTTTCGCATATGCGAATTATTCGCTTCTTTTTTCCATTCGCAAAATCTTTGTGGATGTTTTAGCGAATACTATTTCTAAAAAAACTAACGAAAAATTAAATGTAAACACTCTTAGAGAATGAAAATTAAAATTCCCGGACCTGTATTTCGTGACCCTATATTCAAAAAGTGCGAACTCAATTTTGGGCAAAGTGAGTTTTTGATGCAAAAGGATTCCTCAATGCATGATCCACGTCTGGTATAAATTTTTGTTAATATGCTATCCTAAGCTAAATATTTATTGAAGAAAATAAGTGCTAACTTCCATACAAATTTTATAAAATTTTTTAAAACTTCAAATTTATTTAAAATTTATTTTGTATATTAACAAGATGAACATGCTGAACACAAAACAGGTGAAGATTAATAAATTGAATGTATAGTTTTTAAGATATGATCATTTATATATTTGTATATAAAGCCAGTTTTAGACTTTAAATAATGTTTTTCCGAAAAATGTAAAGTTATTTCAGAAATCGTTTATAACACTAAGATCTATAATATTCTATGGTTCCAATTTAGAATTTTGATTATAAAAAAGTCTTTAAATGTGCAAATTATGGAGTATTATTCAAAAAATATTGGTACTTTTTATATTCAAAAACTTTTCATAATTTAAAATATTTGTACTGAGAATAAGGAATAGTAAACAAGCAGATATGCCATGAGTTTTTCTACTTAAATGGTGTAAATGCATCTTATTGGACTTACTGGTTTGACTTATATCCTAAAAAAAAAACATTTCATAAAATTATAAAATAACGCATATTATTAGAAGAAATTTTTGTTCTATTCTTTGAACAAAACATGCTAACATAGAACAAATGTTTGTTTTTTTGTCGACCAAAAAGTGCTATCTTAAATAAGTCGCTAAAATGTGCAAAATATTAAAATTTGTTCATAGGTAAGAATTAGTAAGGATGTTAAAAACATATTATGGAAGAAATATTGTCTTTTAGTGCAATATTTCACGAATTGAATAGTTTTTTTGCTTTCCTGAAAACTAGACTTTATTGATTTAGCACTTTTTGAATATAGGGTATCGATTTGTTCTTTAGTTATGTATTATGAAGTAAAAATTTTGATACAACTCAATTTTTCATAAAAAAATATATTATGTAATTTCCTAATATATAATTTTCTTTGCAAATTAACTTGAATTATACTATTTACATTCGCATTCGCAAAAAATAAAATTTATTATTCGCTTTCGCTTAACTGGTTGTAAATTTTACAAATATATATGTAATACAAAAAAACACAATTTGTATTCGAAAAAAAGATATGCAAAATATGCTATAAAATGTTATAAATATGCAAAATATATACAATTAAAGCAAAATATGCAATTTATGCATTTATAACAAAATATGCAAAAATGTGCAACAACAAATCCATTTTGCCATGCCATTTTGTTGCAAATTCCTTGATTCGAAAAGAAAACGAAAAGTTATTTTGAGTAACTGACTACAAACATGCATTTGCATACAAATCCTTGCCCTGGTAATGAGTTATGAGCTATAACCAAATATGGACCGATTGTGAAAAAAATTTAAAATAACATTTCTGTGTACAAAAATAGTATTTATTTTTATGGATATCTTAATTTAATAATAAGTTATTTGCGTTTAAGTGTTTTTCTAAAGGAGACCTAGTATGGGAGCTATGACCAATTATGGACCGATCGGAAAACAAATTTACAGTAATATTTTTCTGTAGCAATACATGTACCAAATTTTAAATGGATATCCTCATTTAATAATGAGTTGTGTGCGTTTAAGTGATTTTCGGGAGGAGACCTTGTATGGGAACTATGACCAATTATAGAACGATCGGAAAAAAAATCACAGTAACATTTCTTTATGTAAGAGCAATACTTGTACCAAATTTTGTAAGGATATTTTAATTAAGTAACTAGTTATGTGCGTTTAAGTGATTTCTGGAGGTGATCTTGTATGGGAGCTATGATCAATTATGGACCGATCCATCAATTTTTTCCTCTAAATGAATTCTATTGACATAAGATTTTAATTTGTAAAATTATGCGAAGATATCAACATTCTGACGGAAGTTATTAACAATTAACTCATTTTCCAGGAATATGTACTTTTGTATGGGAGGTATATGAAATTGTGGACCGATTCCGCCATTTTTCAACAGGGCCCAAGCTTTCATGTAGAAACGAAAGTATGATGGTTTTCATTTAATTATATTGCATAGTTTTCGTGATAATTACAGAAGAATGTGTAAAAAATTATTATTTTTTTCGGGGTTGTTTTAAACTTTTCCCGATGTGAACCGATTTTGCTTTTCAATAGGAAAGTGAAGAACATTTTAGGTGAATTTGGTTAAATTTTATTGCCTCGTTTTATCGTGAGCGTGTTTTACACAGACAGACGAACATAGCTAAATCGACTCAGAATTTGATAAGAACCCTAATATATATATGTATTTTGTTGGGTCTCAGATGAATATTTCTTGATAGTACACATGGAATGACAAAGTTATATATAACCTCTAGCACCACTGATGGTGGTGGAGGGTATAAAAATTAGCAAGAAGTGTAAAAACCAAGAGCGTAAATATTTTGTCTCCAATAGATTGTCTCCAATATATTGGATATAGTCATCGACGGCTCAAAAACTAAACAATTGTTTTTTTGAAGCGTAAATTTACTTTTAACATATTTTGAGGATCTAAGAGAGTATTTTTGTAAATATATGGGCCTTATAATATAAATATGGTCAATTTCATGTCAAGGCATTCAACTCAAAAAATTGATTTTGACGAAATTTGCACCAAGGTTAGTACTATTGGATAGTAGGCCAGACACAATTTTCAGATCTACTATCCAATAGTACTAACCTTGGTGCAAATTTCATCCAAATCGGAAGACGTCGATTTTAAAAGTTGAAAGTGATTTTGTTAAATATTGGTTTACAAAAATTTTATTTTTTTTTTGTTTTTTGTTTTCAATAAATTTCTAATAAATGAAAGTGATTTTGTTAAATATTGGTTTACAAAAATTTAATTTGTTTGTTTTCAATAAATTTCTAATAAAGAAAATGTGGTATCGCATTTAGAAAAACAGATATGTTCAATTCACAATCGGTATTGTATAGTTGTATGGTAGTATGTCGTAATTTTTTATAATTTTTTTTGTTTCAAAAAATTGAATTTGAAAAATTTTTTTATGACATACAACGATAGAATTTTTCATTAAGCATTAAAATATCAATTCCATTTATAAAAAAAATTCTAATGAAAAATATTTTAAGTACCATTTAATGAAAATTATGTTTTTTCATTATAACTTTTTTAATAGTGGTAATGAATTTTCAAAAACAAATTTAATTAGTATTTATAAAAGTGGAATTCGTATTTGAAAAATTTTTAAAGCTGTTAAAACTAGTTCTTCTAGTCCGAATGTGCTGATATTTGGCATGCATGATTTTACCTAATGACAATACATTATAATGTTCGGATATTCGAAATTTTTGAACTAATGTTCGAAAATTTCTAAAATCTATTGAATAATGGTAATGAAAATTTCTTTTTAAATAATTACTAATGAAATCGTTCCATTAAAAAGCATTACCATTAGACAAAATAATTCTAGTAAAAAAATAATTACATATAATTTTTTTTTTTTTTTCAATTTAATGCTAATGAAATCGTAAAATAATTAGTCATAATATTTATTACTCCCCTGTATACGACATCGATAGTGAATTGGACAATAGTAAATCTCTTAAAATATACAAAATTCTTATGTATTTATGAAGTCTATTGTTTTCATTATTCAATAACATTTTAAAATCTTGAAATCACCTTATTTAAACAGATTTTTAATATCCTTTATGTTCTATTATATTTTGACTTAATATCTAAAGTAAATAAAGTGTACTTACAAAACTCATCATATCATCCAGAGGTTCGTAAATAATGAAATCTGCAACGAAACTGGCACACTCTTCCGCATTTCTAATTAAAGGTTTATGGAGAAATGATGAAGGTCGTATTGTGGTACAAACGAATTTCTATAAATTTTCCAAAATTTAATTTTACATATTTATTTCGAATCATCATCGGTATAAGTAAAAACTAAAATTTTATTGCACTACCAGCAACTACTTTTATGCTTACCTGTACATTACATTCATTGGGTAGGGCCAAAACTAGCGGACGTCTATTCGAATTGTTAATAACAAACTGGTGTCTAAAATTTTCTGCATATAATAACAGAAGCCGTTCTTTAGCTGATAGAGTATAGTAGGAAGGAGGGTAACAGTGAATAGAATCCTTAAATTCTTCAACAGTTTCAGGAAATGATAAATCAATGCGTCCAACTTGACGAGAATCTTCGTTTTGAACGGTCTCAATTTTTAAGTCTTCAAGTTCCTCCTCTTCTTCATAGCTCGCCTCTTCAATATCTGCATTTTCGGCTTCCATTTCAGCTAAACGTGCTGTTTCCTGATGAGCTTCTTCAATACTTTTGATTTGATCATCATGTTTATGTGGATCAATTTTAATTTTAGCCTTTGAAATATAAGGTTGACGCGGCATAATTGTTACTTTTATATTTACAGAAAAATAAAAAGTCTAGAAATATATTTAAAATTAAAACAATTTTTGGTTGTCATGTGAACGTTAATTCGCACGTAAGAAGTTTTTTTTCTAATTTAATTTTATTTCCAAAACAGAACCCTCTTTTGGAAGCTAGTTGATGCTAAAATATAACCCATGGTGTGGTGAACATGTGAGGTGTTGTCTCTCATTTAGTCACCCGGTTTTTGTATTTACTATTCTTCGAGCTGCCAACCAAATCGTCGTGTAGTAGAAATCAAAACCATTTGCAACGCTAAGGTAAAACGGTTTCCAATGTGGTAAGTAAGTTTTCCAATCAAAACTAAAACCATTTTAAAACTAATAAAATTGTCTTACTTTGCTACACACCAACAGATGGCAAATGTTCATATAGGTTTTTTCGCACACTACTGTTACCGTTAAAATAATAACGATAACCGAAATAAACCAAAATACGATAACACAAAGCTACCGTTACGGAAATAAACCAAAATGCCGAGACCACTAAAATACCGTTATATGATTCGAAAAGGTTTCCAACCGTGTAGTTTAGTGCAAATAACTATATTTGTCACACATTGTTAACATTTTTATGGAAAATTATAATTTTTCCATAAAACCTTTCCCACTTAAACCTTTCGCATTATCCACTTGGTGTAAGAACACCGAATTCACGAGAAGGAATGAAGGTAACAAAGAATTAGAAAAGAAAAGCCAAGTCACAAACCTGACACACAACCTAATAAAAGTGTTGCCGCTTAAAAATAACGCAGTGTTGCCACTCTGATTATTTTTAAACAAAATTGGTTATTTAATTTTGTCCCTTACTCATAAACACAATTTTATTTTATAAACGATTTATAAATCAAATTTCGTATGGAGATTTTGTTTTATAAACCTTTCATAAAATAAAATGTTGTTTATGAATAAGGGAATTTGAATTTATTTTAATTTTGGTTAGTTCTTCTAAAAATTACTTATTGCCCATTTTCAATGCCAAACTAATTTTATTAATCCTATATACAGTGAATCAATTAAGTAATTTGCCTATGTAAAATTTTATAAATTTTAAGAAAAAACTTTATCTGAACAATTATTTTTAGCAAAATAAAGCAATTTGTTTGTTGTACTTTTTAAAGAATATCTTATATTTTAATTTTCTACCATAAAAAGTAAAATCGTGATATTAATTAACGAGATTTTTGATAAAATGTGAACGTATTGTTAATTTTTAAGGTCAATAAAGTATTTTGCTTTTTTAGGTTTTTTGTTCATTTTTTTAATATTGCTGCATTATTTTATAAAATTTAATATTTTTATTACTCCTATGTATTAGAATAACATTTTTTAGATATTTTAGTAGTGGAACGTGGTATAAATCTATAGATTATAACAAAAATAATCTGGGTTTTTGGTCATTTTGTATTGATAAACAAAAACTACATTACGGAAACCCCATCTATTTGGTGAGTACTGTGTGAATTTCATTTAGAATTGTATAATATTGATTCTTATTCAATAAAGCTAACACTAAGTACCATCCTAGCCACCCTAAGTATGGGGATATCACCGTATACCACTATAGAACTATTACATGCTAGAATCTTGATATTCTACCCCATATTTTGAATGCATTATTTTATGAATAAAATGCAGTAGGCGTAGTTGGATTTGGATAGTTATTCTTGATTTGGGTTCTAACTATATATAAGTGTATGTATTAGCTGAAAAATATTGCTTTTGTTGATCTTAGGTGATGAGAACCGCCTCTATATGTAAATATCTAAATTAAGTATTTTTCCCGTACCACACGATAGTTCACTTTATATTGTTTCCAAGCAACCTAAGGTCTGTTTAGAGGTTTAAATTTAAACATGTTCTTTTAAGTTCGTATATGGACTTTGGAGAAGAAAATGAAACGCTCTCCTTTGGCAGTTAAGGATTTTAAAAGACAACTCAGTGCGTTTTTTTTAGTAATTTTTTTAATAATTCTTTGTGTTATTTCATCAATTTCTATATTTTATATTTTTTACTGATTGATTAAACATCTCATAATTGAATTTCATTGATTTATACTTGTTCTAAACTTATTTTTTATATTAGAATTGGCTCATTATTTCCCTTCAAACATTTTTGACGCAAATAACTACACAATTTCACACAATAAGGATATGATTTTTGAAAATTACAATTGAAAAATACTTAACACGTGTCCTTTTAACAATAAAACAATAAATTCCAAAAAGCAATTAAAAATAATTTGAAAAACCAAACGAAATTAACTGGAAATTTCAATATGCAAAATACTTTATTGACGTGCTGAAAAATAATAAAATGCAACAACAAATGCATCAAAATTTGTATTTTAATATTTTTTTCTTGGTTTTCCCATTCTACATAATCTCTACTTTCAATTAAAAAACATAAATTTACTTTTTACCTGTTTTTTTTTATACCCTTCACCTTCGTGAGAAGGGTATATACAGTGTCTCTCATAAGTATTCGAATTTAGGTGAACTATGAAAAGAAACCAAATTTAATAATATATTTTGTGTGCAAAAAAAATAAATTAATTTGTTGTATTGTCAAGACATTCCTTAGGTTTGATATCACGCTTTTTAAAACTTGAAAAATTTACATTTACATAAATTAAATTAGCTTTTTTTAAAAAAGTCCATAAAATTGCCTCACAAAAGTATACGAATTTTTCCTGTATTTCATATTTGATCATATTATACGAAACACAAATTTTAGAATCGAATGGTTTTTATGCTTTAAATTGTTTTAAAGGGTTACTATCAACCGAAATGATATATTTTTGGCCCATTTGGTCCAAAATTTTTGAGGATTTGTACCCTCTTTTTATGTAATATCATTAAAATGGCGATTTTTTTGCAATATTTGTAGTATTTTCTCTTTTTTCCAGAGATAAAACCAAAATTTGATATTGGGATTTAATAGAACCCTTGGAGTATCTAAAAATAGTATTTTTTGTTATAATAATCTGTATTTGAACGATCCAAGATATATTATTGATATCATTATTCTGTCGCTAATTCAATATATTGGAACTTAAGTCCATTTTCATAATACTAGGGTCAAAAATTTTCGGGAAAGTTTTCTTGTATATATTCTTTTAGATATCAGCTTTTATATATTTTAAGTTTTCAATGTATTGTGGACGTGTACAACTCCAAAACATGCCTCGAAGAAACACCATTCAATATGGTAGTATCATTATTTTTATGCACCAATGACCTCCAGGCTGCATGCCACTATATAATTATGGTCTAACTCAAAAATATCGATACCTGTTTAAATATTGATTACTATGATTAAAATAAACCCAAAATTTTGGACTTACAGTGTTATTGTAATGGGCAACATAAGCGTGAAAGTTACGAATAGTAAAAACTGAAATCTACTGTATAGGATGACGTTTTGTAAAGGCATGTTTTGGAATTGTATACCGATATAATGTATTGAAAATTTTAAATATATTAGCAAGAAACCACTCGATTATAATTTTTGTGTTTCGTATAATATGGTCATATATGAAATACAGGAAAAATTCGAATACTTTTGTGAGGCAATTTTATGGACTTTTTTTAAAAAAAGTTAAATCAATTGAGGTAAATGTAATTTTTCCAAATTTTAAAGAGTGTGATATTATACCTTAGGACTCTCTAGAGTCTAGACAATATAACAAATTTAATTATTCATTTCACACACAAAAAATATTATTAAATTATGTTTCTTTTCAAAGTACAACCAAACTCGAATACTTATGTGAGACACTGTACATATAAGTTTGTCATTCCGTTTGTAATTTCTATAATATAATTTTCCGACCTCATAAAGTATATATATTATGGATCCTTATAGGTAGCGGAGTTGATTAAGCTGTGTCCGTCTGTCTGTCTGTCTGTCTGTCTGTCCGTCTGTGTGTTTGTTGAAATCAGTTTTTAGAGGACCCCAGATATCGGCGAATCTTCAATAATTCTGTTAGACATGCTTTCGAGAAGATCGCTATTTAAAATCAGCCAAATCGGTCCATAAATACCGGAGATATGAGCAAAAATCCGAGACAACCTCTGAAAATTTCATAAAAAAGACAAATTTTTCCATGCTTTCATATACATATAACAACAACAACACTGCATATTCATTAAGTATTTCGTTTCATATGTTTGGATGGCTGTGTGTTTCATTGCCTTGTGTATTTGGTTTTTGTTTCTTGGTGTATTCAGTTTCGAATATTTGGATGTCTGTTGGTTTCGTTGCGTTGTGTATTTTGTTTTTGTTTATTTTTTAATATTTCGTTTTGTATATTTGGATGGCTGTGTGTTTCATTGCCTTGTGTATATTGTTTTTGTTTCTTGGTGTATTCAGTTTCGTATGTTTGGATGTCTGTTGGTTTCATTGCATTGTGTATTTTGTTTTTGTTTTTTATATACTTCGTTTCTTATGTTTGGATGCTGTTGGTTTTACTGCCTTGTGTATTTTGTTTTTTGTGTGGTTATTTCGTTTAGCACTGTTGTTGTTCATTTTGTTTTGCTATTGCTATAATAATGATACAGTCGGGAAAATGAAATACATTTAAATTTTATGAAATTGAAATTTATTAAATACACTATGGTGAAGGGTATATAAGATTCGGCAAAGCCAAATATAGCACTCTTACTTGTTTTTTTAATTTTATTTATGAACAAAAAACAAAATTCTCTTAAAAAAGGTAGGCAAAAAACTTAGTTGATTCACTGTATTAGGGTTCTATGAATCGACTTTCGAATAATCGAACAATCGACTTTTTGTCGAAAAAAGTCGAAAAGTCGAAGTCGACTATTTTGTTCCAAAAAAGTCGATAACTCGACTATCGTCTATGAAAAAGGTCGAAAAGTCGACTTTGTAAATAAAAGTCGAAAAGTCAAAAAATCGGAAAGTCGAAAAAAGTCGATAAATCGAAAAAAGTCGAAGAAAGCCGAAAAAAGTCGAAAAAAGTCGAAAATTCGGAAAAAGTCGAAAAAAGTCGAAAAGTCGAA